GTACCTCGGGGGTCGTAGACGGTGACGGTTTTGTCGTAGGTGCCGGTGACCAGGACGTCGGGGCCGTAGGAGAGGCACAGCACGGCCGCCTTCTCCCTGGGGGGGCAGGTCGGGGGGCTCAGGGACCCCCCCAGAGCGGGGTGAGGGGGCTTCGACCCCGGCAGAAAACCGGGGGGAGACAGGGGAGGGGGGAACGACCCCCTGGGACTGAGGGGGGAACTCGGGGGGGGAACCTTCAACTGGTATTAATAAATTAATTAATTAAAATTTAATGTCATGAATCGAAATTTAATTATTTAATTAATATTCTTCCTTATTATAATATACACTTGCATATTAATATAATGGAATGATATGGAATGATATAAATATATAAATATATATAAAATAGATATAAAATATATAAATATATAAAAATATAAAAATATATAAAACATATAAAAATATATATAAAATATATAAAATATATAAAATATACATAAATATTTTTAAAAGATTTTAAAATATATATAAAACGTATGAAATATATATAAAATATATAAAATATATAAAATACACATAAATATTTTAAAAATATTTTAAAATATATATAAAACATATGAAATATATAAAATATATATAAATATATAAAATGCATAAATATATATATATAAATACATAAAAATATATAATATATATAAAATATATTTAAAATATATAAAAATATATAAAATATACATATTTTTAAAAGATTTTAAAATATATATAAAACGTATGAAATATATAAAATATATATAAATATATAAAATACATAAATATGTAAATATATATAAACATATAAAAATATATAATATATATAAAGTATATTTTAAATATATAAAACATATAAAATATAAATATATAAAAATATAAAAATATATAATACATATAAAATACATTTAAAATATATAAAATATAAATATATAAAAATACATAAATATAAAAAATACATATAATATATATAAAACATATATATAAATATATATAAAAATATATTAAAATATGTATAAAAATATATAAAAATACATAAATATAAAAAATACATATAATATATATAAAACATATATATAAATATATATAAAAATATATTAAAATATGTATAAAAATATATAAAAATACATAAATATAAAAAATACATATAATATATATAAAACATATATATAAATATATATAAAAATATATTAAAATATGTATAAAAATATATAAAAATACGTATAAAATATATT